CAGGACCATCCCCAACTAGATCATCCCAGCCAACCCTTTGTCTAGCTGGGTCTTAAAAACTTCCAAGGATGGAGAATCCCCAACCTCTCTGGGTAACCTGTTCCAGTATTTTACTACCCTCCTAGTGAGAAAATTCTTCCTAATATCTAACCTAAACTTCCCTTGCTGCAACTTGAGACCATTGTTCCTTGTTCTGTCATCTATCACCACTGAGAACAGTCTCCTCTTTCAAACGTCCCTTCAGGTAGTTGAAGGCTGCTATTAAATCCCCTCTTAGTTTTCTCTTCTCTAGACTTAATAAGCCCAGTTCCCTCAGCCTCTCCTCCTAAGATATGTGCCCCAGCCCCCAAACCATTTTTGTTGCCCTGCTGGACTCTCCCCAATTTGTCCACATTCTTTTTGTAGTGGAGGGCTCAAAACTTAACACAATACTCCAGATGTGGCCTCACCAGTTCTGAATAGAGGGGAATAATCACTTCCCTTGACCTTCTGGAAACACACCTACCAATGCAACCTGGTATGTTGTTAGCCTTCCTTGCAACAAGGGCATACTGCTGGCTCATATCCAGCTTATTGCCCACTGTAACCCCCCAGGTCCTTTTCTGTAGAGCTGCTGCCCTTCCAGTCAGACCCAGACTGTACTGGTGCAAGGGATTGTTCCATCCTAAGTGCAGGACTTTGCACTTGGTCTTGTTGAACCTCAAGTAGGCCAGTAGATGTTTGAAAGGGATGAGGACAATGTGGAGGCTGGGACTAGATGGTAAATCAGGTAGCTGTATCCCTCCCTGGGAGCCCAGATCTGCTGATGTCAACCAGCTATTGTCTTTATTTTTAATTGGGGGCAATTTTTTTCTCATCTGTTCCAATTCAAAATGTTGACAGTCCTTGCCTCCCACTTTCTCTCTCTCTCTCTGTATCCTTTTTCCAGCCTCTCAATCTCTGGTTGATCAAACACCTTCTCTTTCAAATCTCTTTTTAAAACATTTTTCTTTCATGAGATCTGTCTATTTTAACCCCACCAGATTATAATTCCACTCCATTTTACTATGCTTTCAGTACACTCTGGATCCAATTTTGCTTTTGTATACTGCTTCAGAGCAAATTTGGTTTATTTAGGTCTGAATTAAACTTTCTGATCTCAATTTAGATTACAAGACCCTTGAGAGAAGGGCTGTGTTCATGTATGACCAAGTCCAGCCTTTCTGTTTGGTAAAACTGTTCAGAAAAGAAGATGATAGTAAGATGTGGGTGGGTCCCCCCAGTGGGTATGTCCACCAGCCCCCAGAATTTTTTGGGAAAAAACATTTTTATTTTTTATGTCGATAACTGATTTTTTTTCTATTTTAGGCAAAAGCTTCTTTCTTTGTTAAAAACCAACAGAGACTATCTTTGTAGTTTTGGCAGAAATTTTTGCCCACGTCAAGCCTGAAGCAAGTAAGAAATTGCAGTTATGAGTGCCAGAGATGAGCAAATGGGCTTCTATTTGGAACTGTAGATGTTAATGCAAGGGGCTCTAGTGCCCTGGTGATTGTTACACCACAGATGCAAGCTGCTACTTCATACCTGCTCCCATGGTAGATAAGAAGATCCGAGCAAGTGTGAAAACAACCACTGGTGCCAGGTCTATAAAAATATTGTACTGAGTGTACATCTGAGTGTTTATAACAGCATGGATGGTTCTCAAGCAATGACCCTTTCTTCTGCATTAGCACTTGTACCCACTCTCCCTTCTCTCCACCCTGGGAGACTGGCATCTGGAAAAAAAAACCACTGCAGTTTTTCATCCTCTCTGGCCAGCGTATCAAATGGTCTCCTAAGGTCTGGCCTCCTTTTAGCTAAAAGGCTCATCTGAATGCTTAGGACACTGTGCGTGTGTTTGCCCTTACATTTTCAATAGAATAAGCTACAGTTCCTTGAGGATCCAAATGATCCTTAAGATAGGACAACTGCCCCAAATACCAGGTGCCATGCCTGGTCCATTCTTATCAGCTGATTTTCCACTCTCCGAACGGACTAGGCCACATGTCCTAGCACTAAGGGACATATCTTCCTAAAGGTCGGGGAGCAGTTGTGAAACAGTCACTTTAGCCAGCCATAGAAATGACCAACCCTTGTGACAAGTCTGACAGAGAACAGTACACAGACACTGAGCAGACATGGACTTTTATAGTGGCACTTCCTCTGAATTCAGTTCATGGCCTAGAATCTAAATCAAGAGTTAGCGTCTAAATCAGACTTGGAATAATTAACTTTGAGTCCCAAAATCTAACAAACTCCTGATTGAACTAAACACCTGATACGTGGTAAGCATAATAAACAGCACGGTGTCTATATGCAAGGTCAGCATGTGTTCAGAACCTGTTTCTTTGGTGCCAGAAATCCTAATATTAAATCTGAACCTCTCAGAGCTGAACCTATTTGAAGTTAAAGAAACTTTCTCTTCCATTCTAAGTACATTCACTGTAGCAAAAGACAGTTTATAGAGAACCTAGTACCTCTTGATCGCCACTTTACTCCTGATCCTCCATGCAATCCATCTGGAGGCTGCCTCTGCATATAATTGGCTCAATACTCCACTGCCTTTTATCTTTTGTGGCCATTTAGACCTGTGTAAAGTGAGCACAAAATGCTGCCGAATTAATATGGTGTTGTCTTTGGCCTGGATAGTAATGATTATTGAAGAGACTCAGGCCCAATATACACAGCATTGTAGATTTGCCTTTCAACTGGGTTAAGTGATCATTTTGCTATAATTGTCTGGAAGAATTGTGCCTGACCCTTTTCAGTACAGGAAACTATGTAAGATCCAGTCTTCAAGGAATGACCTTTGCTTAAAAAATCTAAAATGACATGGATGCAATAGTGTAATTTTGGGAGGGAGTCAGGGGACACTAGCCCTGGGCGCCGATTTGAAGGGAGCACCAGAGCTGCGTGTGTTGGCTGAGCTTGTGTAGCAAGCAAGGTAGCCCCAGCAGTTGCTGCCATAGCCAGCCCAAGGATTTAAGCATTCCTCCTTCCCTGCCCACATTGCCCCAGGCACCAACATCCTAAGTAATGCCTCTACATGGATGAAGTAAAATTAACAAGCTCAGTTCTCTCTCTGATGAGCCCTATCAATGGCTGAAATCATGGAAGCTCTGAGCTTTTTGACCCATAAGATATCTAGGCAGCTCTTCCCATGTGTTATAAAATATTCATATGAGAAGCCATCTGGACTTAGGGCTGCCAGCAGTAAGCTTCATTTATCAACCAAAAAGACATTCACATTTTCTTTTTTGTACAACAGCCAATTGGAGCAGCCTCAGTGTTCAAAATTATTCCAATCAGTGTTCCAGTTATTCCAGAGCCTTATTAGGTGTAAACAAAAGTGACTCCAGACATCAGTTTAGTTATCCCAATTTGCAGTAAATGTGAAACTGGCCAGCTGAAGGTTTTGTTTCCCCTGGGGGCAGTGAGTTCAAATGAAGCTTATAAACTCCCACCAACTTCTTACTCTAAAAACTGTGATTTGGCTATTGGGACACAGAAGTAGTCATTTCCTCCCTTTTTCCTATTATGATATATGAAGATATCACAAAGGAATCACAGGACATAAAGATGCCAGAATACTGTAATTCAGTATAATAATGCTAATAGCATGCAGAGCAAAGTTCTGTAGCAAATGGGAAAGCTGTTCTCTTGCTGTGCAAAGAATATGGATGTTGGTAAGCCATCACTTGGAAAGTAAGCACCCATAAGCTGGGGCAGGATCAGGTCCTGGTTTTTCATGCAAGCTGTGGAAAAAGCAAAATGGGTTACATTATGAGATTAGGCCATTTTTCCCAGTACACCTGACTTATTTTTGTCATTTGCCATAACACACCAGCCATGTGATTTATGCTTAGCTGAGAGGAATTCACACTAATAATCAGCATAGTCATAAAAGCACCAAAAGGAACAATCCAGCACAGCTAGGGATACATTAATGTACTTGAGTGCCTAACACCCTGTAATATTGACACGTGAACCATACGGCAGGTTCTTTCCCTTGTTCTCAAGAGGGCTCAAGGGCATTTGGCTATGTGCAATACTTCCCAGGGAACACTGTACCATCAACGGGATGTATCCAGCCTCCAAACATTGGGTATAAATATCCACTGCTCTTTTCTAGAGCAACAGTATGGTGGACTTATTGTGCACCCCAAGGTCACTCTGGCCAGCCCAACTCAAGCATCTGGTCTACTTCTGCCTATATACTTAACTCTCTTCTGTCATCTAAGATCTATCTGCCATCCCATGGGAAATTGCAGGGCATAGGCATCATTCCAAGAGCCTGAACATCCCAGTACCATATGCACTGTCAGTCATTCTTACCATCACACTGACAGGAACGTTTTTACTATACACATCTGCCAAACTTATTTTCCAACTGAGAAATATTCAAGTCACCAAGATATGCACTGCAGGACTTGGAGTGAGATTTTCTGGCAAGATCTGTTCAAATCCTTGTGCACTGTAAAGTTGTTCCAAAGCCTCCTGAAGGTTCAAGTCCAATACACCAATGAATAGCATGTGCTAAATTGATTGGATAGTTCTTCATCAGAGCTGTTGACCCTTCCAATCCTTTTTGTCAGTGGTGGACAGTCATAAGATAGGTGTTCAGTGTTTTAACAAATATAATCTCTCTCTTCCTTTTTGCACTCTGGTTTGCAAAGCTAAGTGTACTATACTTCTTAGACTCAGAACTAGCTGTATTACTATATCTGTACTGCTGCCTGTACAGGTATTTTCTACAAACCTCTTTTCCTGTTTGATTTCTTCTGTGACTCTTTAGATCCTGATGGCAACATATCTTTCAGCTATCACACTTAATACTTTTGCCATATCTTGGGTTTGATTTTCTAAGCTTAATTCCAGAGAACACATTTCCAGGGAATTATTCTCCTCTGCTAAATCAGTTTGTCCCCCTAGCCCACAAGTTAGTCAGCTGTAAACACAAATCTGCATAACCTTTTCACATCTCATCTTACCTCGCTGAGTGCTGCCTGCTGACGCATCTGCTCCATCTTCTCCTCATGCTGCCTTTGTTTCTCATTCTCCTTATGTTCATACTCAAGCCGGGTGAGTTCAAACTCCATCCGTCTCCTCTCCAGCTCTGATTCAACTGCTAAATCAAACCTGTTGTTTAACCACTCTGGTTCTTCTGAAGTTACTACTGTACATGGCACCTGCTCTTTCATAATCTCCTCTTGTTTCTCTTCCTTTGTGTCCTCCTGCTTTTCCTCCTCTGCCTGTTCCAGAGATTTCTTTTCCTTCTTTTTCCTCTTCTCACACTGCAGCTGCTTTTCATTCATGTCCTTCAGGTATATCAGCATGGCCAGCTCAAGTTCTATCTTCATATTCCCCAGCTCCATTTCAGCAGTGGCTTCAGTTTTGCCACTGGGATTCTTTTGGCTTCCCCTTCTGGGTAGTTTCCGCCAACGCGTCTCCTCCATGTTCTCTTCATGTTGCCATTGCTTTTCCTTCTCCTTGAGCATTTTCTGCTCATGCTGCCTCTGTCTTTCATTCTCCTCATAGATATATCTCAGCTTGCTCAGTTCAAACTCCATACGCATCTTCTCCAGTTCAATTTCAGTTATTGGATCTAACTTGTTACCAGGGTGCTCCACTGCCTGTGAACCTGCTGGTTTCAGTGGTGCCTGCTGACGCATCTGCTCCATCTTTTCCTCATGTTGCCGCTGCTTTTCATTCTCTAACTGTTGGTATTTCAGCATAGTCAACTCAAAGTTAATTCGCATCTTCTCCAGCTCAGTATTGTTTCTTTCGACCTGTCTGAACTTTGCCAGCTCCTGCTCCTCTTGGGAGTTGATCTTGCCCTCCTTGTGGATGATTTGTGGTTGTGAAAGACCATTTGTGACTTCTTTCTGAGCACCAGTTTCTAGCTGTGATTCCTGATCCTTATTGGCTTGGGTTTCTGTGATGGTACAGGGAACACGTAGAATTGGTGGGGTATCTTCAACAGGATCCTGATAGAGATTAGAGGAAATTCATTTCTAAGCAGTAATAAGGAAGAGTTACTTCCACGACAAGTTTCTTGTTTGTTTGTTTTTTGTTTTTTGTTTTTTTTAACAGCTTAATTGAGCTAAGTTGTTGAGGCCCTATTGTACAGATGGAGCCACCATTCAATATTATTGGCAGAGAATAGTTACACAAGGGGGAAAAGGCTATTATAACTGTGTCCAATGGAATGATAAAAAGTTACAGAAATCGGAGCAGGAAAGATCTGATAGGCCATCCAATTTGTCATGCCCGCTTAATAATAAATGATTACCCCCAGCAATGTCTTTTTTCCTGCTTTGTCCTCCCAACTTCTTAAGTAAGTAGTACTAAGACTAAGCCTCTCACCATTTTAACACAGGAAATCCCATTGTTACTACTGGAACCCCATATCCCACCCTAAGTAATTCATCTTCCACTTATATCTTTTGGTTATAAACCTGTACCTTAAAGGTTAAATAATAAATATTTACCCTATTCTCCATGAGTCAGTCCCTTAGTACTGCTAATTTTGTTTTTCTCTGACTTCTCTCTAGTTCATCAGTCTCTCTGATATGATATTTATTTGTTTATATATGTTGTCAAGCCCACACCTATCTTTCTAGATTTTTGCATACAATTAAAGCATGAAACTATATGGCAATATAATCATTGGAATATATTAAATACTCTCCCTTACCACTTCTTAGACACTAATTCCCCTTCCTACAATTTACTGGCAGAAGGATAATAGTACCAATGCTAATAATACCCTCCCATGTTTTTCAATCCTTTTTCCAACTGGATGAAATAATAGTCCCATTGAAGTCAATTGCAAAATTTATATTGACTCTTATGAGGTCAGGATTTCACTCAGTAACAATAGATAAATCATGCTAGTTTGATACGGTATTGTAAGCCACCCTAAGCTTTCTTTGGATAGGGTGGCATATAAAGGTAATGAATAAATAAAATAAACATGTATGAAGCATATTATACAAGATTCCTTTTTCACAAAAATCATTGTGTTAGAAAGTACAATCCTTGGTCTTCTGCAGGAACTTATGATTTAAACCTGAAGGATTAAAAAAGAAAAGAATAACTACAAGTTTTACCATAGAAAACTAAGGCACAGGACCTTGGAAATGAAATGAAGCTGTGTAACAGTGGATCCACAAGCAGGAACCCGAGTTTCATGAAGCTCCCACTCCGGCCCTGCAGGAAACTGAGATACCAGTTAAGAAACAGAGAGGAAGAATTCAAGCCCAAACCAAAGCCTCTGTGATGTCACCAGACTCCACACTCCGCTGCCCAGCCATTCTCCCCAATCCCCAGTATTCCTTAAAGCTAATGACTCTAGATGCTCTCACTGGCCTCATCATTGTCATGCTGTATGGAGTGTGTGTGTGTGAGAGAGCAAATATTAGAGCTAATTTGAAAAATCTAGTAATAGAAGACAATTATTCTGTGATAAATATAAATGTACCACATTTCTTTTACCCCTTGTGTGCTGGTGGTGGAGTTCGGTGTGCATTAAACTAAGTAAAGGAGACGTTTTGTATGCACAGTTTCTCACTGAGATTCCAAGCATTCTGGAGAGCATGGCCATGGTTTCAGAAACCACTGAATATGGTTCCCTGAGGAATACTAACATATATTGGAGTTGCTAAGGGACAGCAGGATAATACCTGCTGTCTAAGTACATATAGGACGAGATTTGCCCTATGAAGTGAGCAAAGAAGAGATAGGGATGGAGTTAGCAAGTGGGAAAGAGCCTTCCTGTTGCAGCCCCTGTACATGAACCATTTTGCATGTGGCTGCACTACAATGTATGCTCAATCACACTTGCTTGAGCAAGGAATGTCTCACTCTAATCATTTCTGTTGTATTTCCGTGTATGCAGCAAAGCCTACACGCCTGCATCCGCACTGTTGATCCAGGCACACAAGATTGGTGCTAGGATATGTGGGGTAGTATCAGGTAGTGAAATCTTTCCACTAGCTGGTACTGGACGCATCTACACGTGATGCTATGTTGCCATAGCAACATGCTACGGCAATGTAGCATCCGCAGGCAAAAACCGTGATGCCGTTGCTACATTGCCACAGCGGCACACTCCCTCAGTATAACGCATTGCTATGGCAATGTAACAGCTAAAACTAACCGTGTGTAGCACACTTGAAACAGTATGGGCTGTTATTGTACCGTCATTTAGCACTTCCTTTTGGGAATGCTAAATAATGACACAGTAACAATGGCGTCCTAGGGGCACATGTTGACATGCCCACTGGGCGCTATCTTCTGGTGTATTGTGGGATAACTTGTCTTTCATAGCTTCAAGTGTAGAATGACCCTGGTTTAGCAGTTCATGATAGTCTTCCTGCTCTGGACATTTCTCACTGTCTACCAGTTGGCCAAAACTGGGCTCCATTAGATGAACTGCTCCTGACTTCAGGCCAGCTGTTTATGCTGTGGAGTGGTGCTCTGAGAGATGTGCAGTGGCATTTTGTAGCTTTCTGAAATGTGGATGGGTGCTGAATGTGGAGGACAAAGACTATGGGCTAGAGTCTATTCCACCTAATAGATAAAAAAGCACACTTAGGTGCCAGGCATAATTTGAGATTCAACTGGCAAGGGACATAAATGGCAATAAAAAGAGATTTTTCAAGTATGTACAAAAGTAAGAGGAAGACCAGAAAAATCATAGATATTTTATGGAACGTGGAAAGCAATCTAGTTGCAGATGATAGAGAGAAGGCCTAAGTATTTAATTCCTTTGTTTTGCTTTAGTTTTCACAAATAGGGCCACCCAGCAGATGATGAGTGCAAAGATAAGGAAGAAAATAAATATTCTAGAATAGGGGAAAAACAGGTTAGGGATCACTTAGAGAGGCTAGATGCTTTTCAGTTGGCAGAGTTGGATGGGATACACCCAAGGGTACTGAAAGCATTGGCTGAGGCAATTTCAGAACAAGTGAGTATCATCACTGAGAACTTATGGAGGTCAGGTGAGGTCCTGGAAAAGGGCAAATACAGTGTTCATCTTTAAGAAAAGGAAGAAGGAGGATTTGGGGAATTATAGACTAGTCAGCCATACCTGGAAAGATCATGGAGCAGGTCCTGAAGGAGTCTACTGTAAAGAACAAGGTGATCAGGAGCAGCCAGCAAGAGTTCAGCAAGAGCACGTCATGCCTGACCAACCTAATTTTCTTCTGTGATAGGGTGACAGGTTCTGTAGATGGAAGGAGAGCAGTGGATGAGATACCTGGGCTTTAGCAAAGTTTTTGGCACTGTCTTTCACAACATCCTCATTAACAAATTAAAGAAACACAGACTAGAGGAAAGTACTGAAAGGTGAATAGGTAACTGGTTGGATTATCATGCTCAGTAAGTAGTCATCTATGGCTTTAGTTCAGAGTACGTATCAAATGAGATTTGCCAGGGGTCTGTCCTGGATCCAGTATTGTTTAACATCTTCATTAATTATTTGGACAATGGGATTGAGGGAGTTTCAGACACTCTGGAAAGTAGGGCTAGGATTTAGAATGACCTGTCTAGACTGGAGAAATAGTTTACAATCAACCAGATGAAATTCAACAAGGAGAAGAGCAAAGTTCTTCATTTCGGACAGAATATTTGCATGCACAAATACAGACTGGAGAATGATTGGATAAGCTGCAGAACTGCAAAGAATAACCTGGGGTTATAAGTAGACAATAAGCTGAACATGACTCAATGGCATGCTCTTGTTGCAAAAAAAAAAAAAAGTAAAATAAAGCCAACAGCATGCTGGGTTGTATTGACAGAAGTGTCACATGCAGTCGTAGGTGAGTCACTTGCAAATCAAGGGAATTGATTATTTCACTCTATTCAGCACTTATGAGGCCTCACCTGGAGTACTTGCCCAGTTTGGGGCCTCACACTTCAAGAAAGATGTGGACAAATTGAATAGTCCATAAGTGAGCAACATAAAATATTAGAGGCCTCGGTAGCATGACTTAGGTGAAGAGGCTGAAAGAACTAGAGTCTAGAGAAGAGAACAGTGAGATAGGATTTGATAACAATTTTCTGAAGGGCGAATATAGAGAGGATGGAGATAACCTATGTTCTGTAGTCATAGGGAACAGGAGTAGGAGCAATGGCCTCAAGCTACAGTAAAGGAAATTTAGGTTTGTGATTAGGAGGAACTTTCTGACTTGGAAAGTGGTCAAGCATTGGAATAGGCCATCTCGAGACATTGTAGACTCTCTATCCCAAGAGCAAGTAAGATAGACACTTGACTTGGATGGTTTTGTCAGAGATGATTCTGCCCAGGGGGCTAGACTATATGAGCTTATGATCCCTTACAGCCCTACTTTTCTAATATTCTATGATCCTATGTCCATAGGGCAGGCTGAAAGCAAAATGGCACTTCAAAAACCATTTGGATGCCAATAGATGACAAATACCATCTATATGATTGTCGCCTGCTGCTCCTTGCACAATGACTGCAAGGATGAAGGCAAGTGTCTTGCACTGGAGTGGACCCTAGGTATGTGTGGTTTGCTGAGGTAGTTCATATAACCAGGAAATGCAGCCATCCACACTGGCACTGGCTCAAGGAAGAGAAATGTACTAGAGATGCCATATGTGCCCACATCCTGGCCATGCAGGCTGATAATGGGGACTAGGAAGAGGAGGGTACAGTAATTTTTTGGTAGTAAATTATATTTGAGGAATTTTCTGTTGGTATTGGCTACAGGCTTTTATCTTGATTTCTCTGTGTCTTCTGTTTGGCTTGGCCTCAGGAAGAGTCAAAATTGTATTTTACGAGTGATTTTTTGTTTTCTGTTACATTAGTAAAAGCTGTTTTGCAAAAAATGTAGTTATTTGTTTCTCTGCAAGTTCCTTGAGAAGAGCTAGTGCTCTACAAAAATATAAAGTTTGTTTTTTTTGTCAAGCAAGGGTATCTCAGGAGACTCAAAGAAGCGGTGAAGGTAGAACAGCTGCCTGATGACATTTACCAAGTGTACCATAGTGTAAATATAGCAGGTAAGCCTGAATTAATTACACTGCAGTGCAACAGAGAATGCAAAGAAGGAAGAAAGAACCCCCCTCCAATACCTTCCCCTTTACCCCTCCCCCAAAACCCTTCTGCAAGCAAAGGAGCCTGTATTTAGTGCTGTAGTGCTCCTTATGATGCTTCCCTTGGCACTTTGTCTAATATGCATTGTGTGAGGCTGTAGAGGGATTGAGTATGTGGGCCTTATTTGTCTGTTACCTCTTCCCCCATATTGCCCAGTGTACTCCATGGATTTCCAGACCCTGCCCAGTCGGCAGGGTTTGATGCATGCTGAAGAGGCAGTGTGCCCTTGTACTTGCATTAGCATTTGCACAAGGCCACAGCCATGCCTATATGTGCTAAGAGCTAGCAGTATGACCATATCTTGTAACTGCAAGCCTTGAGCTCTGTTCAGCACAGGGATGCTTCCTGGGTCAACAGCTATCCGAAGGGGTGGTGGAGGAGGCAGTAAGGCTGTCTGAGGGAAGCATATGCAACACCTTCCTAAGGGCTGATGCAGTGGATATACTCCTGCTGGCATGGTGCAGCTGTGCACAGCTCCCTGCTTAGGGATGTCCTTAAAAGGCACAAGGTGGCGCTAAATAAAACCCTGCTTTGTGCTGGTGCACACTGCTGCACCTTATTCCAGCTACCTTATAGCAAATTACACCTTTTGGAATCCTTTGCCCCGATCACACTCCTTTACTATCAAGGACCTCTCTAAATTTGGCCTTTGGCAGTGAAATCCAGCAAAAGATGCCTTGGCTGCTAAAGGAAACATATTTCACTGCAAATATGTGTTTGAAGTACTTTTTAAAAAGAGTATTTTTAATCCAACATGAAACACAGCTCCCATCCCCCTCCCCCAGCTCTCCTGAATATTACACACTATGCTGTGTATTTGCTACTTTGAAAAACAACAAACACAACAAAGGAGAAAATGAAGGAAAGTGTTATTTTAGAATCTGAGGAGGGAACTTCAGAGCAATGGTAGCAACATATGGTAGAACTGCCTTTTAAATGTTAACTCCAACTCTGCTGGACAACTGACAGTAGGCCTGAAAAGATAAGAGAAAAGCAGAGCAAAAGAGATCAATTCAGGAAGGAAAGAACAGCCTTCACTTTTAGGGCGGTGGAAGGAAAAGGTGTTCACTTCCTCTCTGATTTGAATTTGGAGGCAAATATTAAGACAAATCAAAGGCTAGATTCTCTGTGGTGCTGGGCACTCTAAATACTTCTTGAAGTGGGCGTTGGGGCTGCTCGGTGCTCCAGTGGATCTGGCCCCAAGTATCTGAGAGAGAGTGGGTGCACAGAACATGAATGGCTTGGCAAGAAGTTGATGAGAGATTTACGCTGTGTGTCAATATAATATGTGCCTAGCAAAGAGGATCCCATGCCTCCCTCTGCCAGTAGCATCATTCAGCAAGAGCAAATTGATGTCCCCCATTGCACTAGAGTGCTTGGCCCCTCAGCAGAGATGAAAGTGCTTTCACAGCTCTTCTGTAAGTCTTATGGGAATATGTTTTTTAGGACAGCTGGAGAATGAATAAATGTAGTAAGCTTATTCAAGGAAGTGAGAAACTTAACTGCAAAACTGCTTAAACAATGCCACAACTAAATTCAATGTTTACTCAGAAGACACGCACTACATGTGTGAATGCAAGTTAGCTGTGCACATGTCCACTTTCCTCGCTCGCTCAGATTCAGCCCATAAAATACCTATGGCCCGTAACAGTAACTGTAATCTGAGCATCAAATAAGTGCTCAAAGCAATGCCAAATTTTCTCACCCACACAGGGAGATGTCATTGAATGCATTCATGTATCAAGCATGGGTGCAGAGTATATGAGATTTGAAAATCTAGCTGTAAATTGACACCGTACTTGATAAATGATGCATCCGGCTGGTCTCAATAACTAAATGGGTCTTTCTTATCTATAACTTCTCCACACATCACCTACCAAGCAGACACTCATTGCCTTTGTGTAAATGATTACACAAAGCAATGTATAGTCAAGCCCACTATGTTTCTTTACATGGCATAAGCCATCATTGATAGGTACCATGCAGGTAGGTGCCTTATGAATTCTACTAAGAGTAGACCAAGTCCAGAGGTGATAGGTTTTTTTCACAGGTTCTCTGTTGGGACCAAGAAGATATTTTACTACATTAGGTACTGTAGGATCAGAGCACCTTGTAATCTTTAAGGCCTCTGTTTGTTACAGGGTGTCTGTGAAGTAAAGCTGGGTTGTCATCTGTGTTACACAGATGAGGAACTGAGACACAAAAAAGACTAAGGGCCAGATCCAAAGAAGGACTTATGTCTCTGCAGTGGGACTTGGTTGATATCACATACCTAAGTAACAAATGATGACCAATAGAACTCTTGCCAGTAGTTGCCTAACACCGGCCTCTGCCACAAGGCTCCTTCCCTTTTGACCAGCAAGTTGCTCAGGTCCCTGCACTTCTTCTGTACATCCCCAGAAATGCCCTGGTCTGAGCAGCTGTACACCTAGCTCCTGCCCTAGGCTCATTTGGTACAGAGGAGCCCATCTTGGAGGCCTGCCTAATACACATCACCACCATTTGATTCAGCACAAAACACAACAGCTCTGGCCAGCTTCAACAGGAATGGATGCATGGGGTCCTCACCAAGCTTAACATGTAGCCTGGTGGTTTAGACAATCTTCTGTAGAAACTATGGGTTTGAATAACTTCAGGTTGAAGACGGCTTAGAAACCAAGTGTCCTGCAAGCTGTCTCCCTGTTCAGCATTTGGATTTTTGGAACTTCTGAGGTACCTAAATGTCCTGATGGGGAACTGGTATGAGAAACCAAGGTAACTCTGAGCTATGGATTCCAGGTGTCTAAAATATAGGCAGTATGCTGATAAAGCCCTTCTTTTGATCACCCAAGTGATCCCCAAGTGATCCCCAAGTGATTTGCCCAAGGTCTCCCAGGAATGTCCAAGACTGGGAAAGGATTGAACCTGAGCTTCCCAAGCCCCGGCTACTGCCCTGGTCACTGGACCTTTCCAAACCTAAGAGTTTATATCAGTGATAAAAAACAGGTCCTGGAAAGTGACAGTTCAGACACTCAATGGCAGACAGAATGAGCTATGTTGTAGCAATAGTGCAATTATGATATCAGCAGAGTATGGAATTGCATGACATCATTATGATTGTTTGGAAAATGAATTTGATTTGGGTTTGAATAGCATGCATCTCTCTGATTTTAACAGGGCCAGCTGGTGTTGAGTTATCTGCATGGGGGACTTGCATAAAGTAGGCTACTACGTGTGACACCAATGTCTACCTTATTGTCCTCCTCTACTGTTGTACCTGAGCCAGCAATGGTATTCAATTTTCTTTATCATCTTCATCTTCTGTCATTGGCTTCAGGTAGTAACATATTTCAGGAGAGTTAGGAAAACAGTTTTGCTACCTATGTACCGGTAAATCCTCTTTTTAAGGTTATTGCTACCTTGGACTCATGCTTCCTTTATAAAATGTCTAAATAAAAAGCGGGGTTCTTATAAGAGGCAGATGGAACTGTCTCAGTTCAAATGCTAGTGCCAGTCAGCTGAAAGGACGTTATTGATCCATGATTAGTGACAGACGGTGCCTTTGCCATCTCAGTTTGTCTATGTTAAGTAAAATGAGAAGATGCGCCATTCTAGGGTTGTAGGGTCAGTTGAGGTATACTCCCAGCAAATAAGAGCTATCCTTCCCCAAACTCAATAAAGCATGCTTGCTAATCTATGCCCTCTGAAAGTGCAGCATATCCCCCCCTCGGTGCCTAGCTAGCTTCCCTGGTCACAAGTAGAACAGGATGGGAGTCATATTTTCTACCTCATCTCTTCAGGTTATCTGGATCTGATTTTCAAAGCTATTTAGGCAGCTAGGCATCTAGTAGGGTTTTCAGTAGTGCCTTTTTGATTTCCATGGGAGTTAGGCACCCACATGCTTTTGAAAATCTGTCTGCCTGTGTAGGTACCTAATAAATTGGAAATCAGTCACTTGGACACTTACAACTCATTTTCTTCAGTCCCTGGGGCAGAGGGCTGGACTCAATGATCTTCCAAGGTCCCTTCCAGCCCTAATGTCTGTGAAGTCTAAATCTATGCTTTTCACCAGTCTTTGCAGGATAGTGATGGAGATACTTTGACATCATCAGATGTCTCCCACTTTGAGACAGAATCTCTGCAGATTAAGGACGAGGAAACCCAAGCTGATGTGGAGCTCAGTAATCTGGAGAGCTCAGAGTATTCCTCCCAAGTAGCTGGGGCAGAGTTAAGAGAAATGCAGGCAGGCTTTGAACTTACTGTGCAAATATCCCCGCTCAAAGACAACAAGAAGCAGCAAGAGCATGTGTTGATGGTAAGTGGAAATTAACACCGAATGAAAGGTAGGGGCATCAAGGGAGAACTGTAGGCCAGCCAAGGGGCTCAGTTTTCAGAGGAGAATGGGAGTGTGAGATGCACACAATTATACCTCCCATAAGGTACCACAGCAACGCTGATGGACACAAGTTAATGTCTGATCTGAAATGAAATACTTCTTTTTGGTTCAGTGAACTATATGTTTTGATGTGGGTCATCTGGATCCTAAAGGAAACACTTAGTTTCAATTTTCCTGAGGGAAAGCTGCAGAAAATGTTCAATTGTAGAAATCCCATTTTCTGTCCAAAAAAAAATCAAAAAATTCCTAAACAGTTCAAAGAAAGACCTTCTCAACTTGCTGGTAGAGGTTGCAGAACTAGTGAGTCAGTATTTTAGTGTTTCATATTTTTTAGCTCTATCAAAACCTATCAAGGCCTGATTAGGGCTCTTCTGTCAACATAATCTCAATTTATTCTTTCTCCGATCTGTGTCAGGATGTCCCCAGATATACACCAGCATTGTCACATATCCTAGATGATGTGACAGAGAGCCTGGATGGCAAGAGCCATGCAGTACATTTGGAGCCCAGGGCAAAGAGAGAAGGTAATACTTTGCAGCCAGAAGCATTCAGCAGTGAGGATGAGATGAACAACCTGGAGGAGCTGGAACAGCCATGCACGGGGCAGGTCACAGCAGTTGATCTTGATTTGGAGAAGATCAGGTGGAACTCTGCAATGACCAGGCTGAAGTACGAATATGAAGATAATGAAAAGCAAAGGCAGCATGAGGAGAAAATGGAGCAGATACAGCAGCAGACGGCACAGAGATCAGTAAGCTGGGATGGAAAACGGGTTTGGGTATGACAGAGGGGAAAACAGGCAACACATTTAATGTTGTTATTTCCACACTTCCATAAGCCCTCTTTTCTTTGATTTTGCAAGAACACACTTATCTGTTTTTAAATTAGACATGAGATGATTGTCCACACTGCTCATACCACTGTTCATAGAAGAGCTGTTTCCCATCTAAGCACAAAGATAGCAATCACTGCAGTAAAACCAAAACTGTTAACTCAAGAATGAAGTTTATAGGGTAGAGTTATCCAGAGGATTATTTTCTAAATGATGATTATACCCATGTAACAGATCTTATGGCTGGATTGAATGGTTATCTGCCTCTACAACAGAGTTGGTCAAAGAGGTTATAGTGCTGGAATGGCTTCTGCTAAACTTCCTGAGTTGCACATCATAAATATATCAGAGCCAAGAGCTGTGAAAAAATGTTGCAGAGGATGGGCTACACCCCTTGCTAATTAGCTTTGTTGAAGTCCAAATATTTGTAATATTTGATCCATTGCTATTACATGTCCAGTCTGAAAAAGCCAGTAGGGTTAGCAGATGTGTCATTTTCAGACATCAGATGGGTGAGTTCTTCATCACTCTTGCTGTCTTGGGCTTGATTCTTCTCTTACCTTGAATAGTTTTATCCCTGATGCATGTAAGAGAAAAATCAGTGCCTGGATATGGGAAGAGGCACTTGTATCCTTAGCTTTTCTTGTAGGCCTGGTATGGTGGGTTAGCACAAAGCAGATAGGCATGTGTTTCATATTGTTTTATATTGTTATTTATTTATACTTCAGTAGCTTTTAGGAACCTCTGTTGTGGATCAGGGCTGCATTATGCTAAGTGCTATACAAAGAAGGAGGTGTTAGTGTTGCCTATAGCACCTTTAGTTTAGAAATAAGTCCTCTGGGTTAGATGGTATTTCACTTACACTGGTGGTAGGTAGCAGTGTAACACCAGTGAAACCAATGGGGTGAAACCAGTGTAAAAGAGATCAGAATCAGTCCCAGTGTAGATTTGGATAAGTGACTGGAGTTCCTCTGAGCTTGATTAAAAAAGGCCTACTGCCAACTCCTTTATTAATTTACAACCTAATAACTGTATAATAGGCTGTATAACTGGGCTGTATAATAGACCTTCGGAGATGAATGAGCCTCTCCAGAGAGATGAACTAATGCAAACTCAGACCTCCCTGGTGGCCAGATTTTACAAATGAAGGACTAGGTGCATGGTGGATCTAGGATTTTGAAAAAGGGGTTACAGATGGTTCAGTACTTCATCACATATAACACAACATGTTTTTCTCCAGTTAAAGAGAAACTAGCTTTACTAATAAGCTGGGAACACTATTGCAAGGGGCACTGATTTGCTATATCATATATTAAATTTAAAAAACCCCACAAACTAGGGAAAAAAGAGTCAAAATATTCAAAACGATATTATGTCATTAGCCCCATATTCATTAAAGTTAAAAGTATGTTTCTTATTCAGATTCATAATACAAAATCTAGCCTCCTTGAGGGTCCTGATAGTACCTTCAATACTTCACTGTCAGTCATCTCAATACCTTGAGTTAATATTATCACATGAATTAAGGTTTTTAGATACAGCTAAAAACAGCCTGCGGGCCAATTAAATAGAATAGAGGCATTACCAGGAATGGCTAACAGTCAGCAAAATAGCAGAAGAAAGAGAGTCCAAACAGTGAAATATCAAGACCGTTAAAAAGGACAGAGGGCTGTTAACACCTGTGCAATGGAGAGAGAGTAGCAGGGATCAGAGAGATAATAATAAGCCACGGAGTCAACTGATTGTCTCAGCACTGCCTGAATAGAAATGTCACTGGTCCTCCCAGGCAGTTAGTTTAAAAGTTTTGGCGGAGCAGGAATCAACAGGGGGTGCAGCTGCACCACTACATACCTCCTGGATCTGCCTCTGGCAAAGTGTAGCCAGTAGAGGCATCTGAACGGAGGGTGGGTGAACATTACGTATCTCTTTCTTTTCCACAGTTTAGCCAAGGACTCCATGGTCTACCCCGGCCGCAGAACCAGTATGCCTTGTTTTTATACTGTTTCATCTTTATACACGTCATTTACACAGCGAGGGAGCTGGCTTTCTATTTCGTTATGAGGCATTACATCTTCTGCTTTTCCATTGTGCTCTATTTCTTTTTCAAGAAGATTTTTCTGGATTACGTAAATAAGAAAAAATGTTCCTAAAGCAAGAGCACATTCTCTACAGCTAAAGATGCTGATCTATTCCCATTTCTCTTTACTTTTCCTGCTTTGCAGCTCTGCTGTTCTTTCCTAACTACACTGAGCATTTCCACTATTGTTATATGAAAAAGGATGTAACTTGTGCAAGTGTAACTTATTCTCTCTTTCAAAAGTTGTTGCTGAATATCATACATTCCTTGCTCTCTCGTTAACATGTTCAGCATGATTCTGTCACATTCACCAATACTAATAAAATTGTGTGTGATAAGAAAGCCATTTTGAATGTGTCTTTCCATATATGCTTAGCTTCTTGGACATAGCTGCAGACCCTATATCTGCGAGGTTGCATGGATGGGGAACCACATGGCAACTTACTTTTGGTGTTTTGTTTTCAAGAGGATTCACTTGTTCCTACCTACAGTATGCCACAGTCTTGACTTTCATGCTCTTTCGAGAATGGGATAGAACATTTTCACTAACAAAAACTGACATTCTCCTTGCAGCTGAGGTCTTATGAATGCTTAGGTCCCAGTACTAATAAGAAGGGTTTTAGGATATAATTCTAATAGCAAGGTCAGACACATTGAATCCATGCAGAATATGGCTATATCCTTTTCCCACTGCATCTGTCATATAGCATTTTTGCTATGTGCCTGGAAAAGGTAGAAGCTATATGCCATATAGAATGTTAGCAATGAGCAACTAAAATCTCACTAGCACTCTATGTTAGAATTAGAGCATAAATCACCCACATGATTAGAATTAAAGCATAAATCACCTAGCCATATTGTATTTATTATTCTGTGTCCTTGTTCTTCTCCCAGGTGACATTGTATACCTAATATGGAAACTAAAAGTGCTTGGGTTTCTCAAAGATGGTGCTCAAAAAACTGCCCAACTCGAAGGTTGAGCACAGTGATTTTCAACCAGAGTTTATGAGATGCCTATAAGGGTGCCATAAGATGCCGCATAATATTATCACTGGTAGGTGTGCAAACACCTATGCATAATTCACAAGACAAACCCAGAGATTTCAAACAGAAATCTATAGCGTCAAAAACATTCTGACTTGGTGTGGTCTTCCTGAGTTCTTCACAGCAGAAGAATTATTTTATTATTTTTTCATAGTAAAAAATGAATGAAAGGTAAAAGCTGGCATTTTTTTGAGGCATGCCTTGAGTCTTAGGAGGGGTGCCTTGAGTCTTAAAAGGTTGAGAACCACTGGTCTAGCAGATGATATGGGTATAATTTCACCTTACTTCAAATGTGTTTCTGATATGCTCTGTCCCGGTTAGGATGATATTCTGTGCACATTCAAATGGCAGAATGCTTACAGAAACCATGCCATCCACGACAGCTAGGGGAAGATTCTTTGCACCAAGGCCATAGATACAAGAGTATCTCAGAGCCATGTCTAAATATCAGGTAGTTTACTGGTCAAATGCAGCATAAGTGAAGTTTGCCAAAGTCATCCTGCAGCTAGATCCACATGTCCTATATTTTAGAAATAGTGTAAGATCAGAAGAGTATCCAAAAGGTTGTCTATTCACAGAAAACCTTATGATCTGTGGCATAATCTTCCTGAAAAGAAGATTGACAGGGCAGGTACACTGTGGTTGTGTGCTATAGATACAACCTACACATGAGTGTTTGTTTACATGGGCTAAATAAAGCAAAATTTTGTTTACAACTAAGAGTTTCACTTCTCCCAAGGTAAATGACTGTCAACTCATGCCAACTCCAGTAGAGTGACCTGTGCATGCTCACTGTCTATACTTTATGGTTCCTCTCAAATGTAGCAATTACTGATGTCTGAACTACATGGGCAAATGTTTGGCATACTTACCAGAATGGGGAAGGTGCTGCTTAAGATACCTCCTCCAGTGAACGGGTTCTGCATTGGCCAGGAGGAACCAGTTTTAGTCCATGCTGTTTTTCTAACTGGGATTTTATTATATTTCATGCAGGTGGGGTATCACACACGAAAAATCCAGCCAACTGGTGAGCCTTGTGGACCAAGGCTGGCATTTCTGTCAGTACCAATATAGAGAAACTGAGTGAAGTGTACCTGGAGACCTGTGTATATAGGTGTATCTGTGATAGTTAGAAGCTGTTTTAAGACTGACAGTGGGATCTGAATGGCTGATAAAGATTATACTCTCCCAGTAAGATGTGAATTATGAGGTTCATATTTATTCACACAAACATGAATATAAATCTTTAATGACCTCTCTCTACTACTTGGGAGTGCCCACGGCTAAAAGTGTAATGGACCCAAAGGGGTGTACAGACATACACTTCTTATGACTCAGGACTGTATGAGACAGTTTGTATGTGTCTTAAGAAAAAAGGACACAAAAATGTATTTTGGTTTCAGCAAAAATCTTGGAAACACAAAGGGACTGTACCCTGAAGACTCTGAAATTGGAAAGTCAATAAGAGGAGCCCCAGCTGAATGCTGTATAATCATTTCATGGCTTTCAGGAGTTATGGGGTCAGACTCTTTGGTTCTGAATGCTTGAGGTTGGTACTGAAATCAGGAAAATATTCTTTGACACACAGGACCAAGTTTCACAGAACTTCCTGTCTAAGCCTCTCAATGGCTAGATCCACAGCTCTAAATCCAAAAGACTATTTAATGAAAATCCCAAATCCTACCTGAGCTGAAAGAACCATGGCTGGTTTTCTCTGATGGGAGATTTCACTCTTTTGTGATCAGTTGAAAAACATGAGAAGAAACAGGAAAGAAAATTAAAAAGAAAACTTTCATAGGGAGGACACTAACACAAAAAGATGTCACAAGGGAACTACTTACATACCACATAGTTTAATGGAGTGAATGCATCTAATACAGTGGTGCCCAACCACTATGGGCTGTTGGCTCTGAGTAGGGTGGCCATCATAGAAGACAGTCTGGTTGTCCTCTGTCCTCTATTGATACAAAACTGGACGCCTTTATGTCCTCTATTTTGCTATCGAAGAGAAAAATAGAGGACATAAAGGCATTGAGTTTTGTATCAATAGAGGGCAGAGAACAGAGTAGCAGAAAACCGGGATGTCCTCTAATCTGATGGCCTCCCTAGCTCTGAGTGGGGCAGGGGTCAGTCCAAAGGCCAGATCTAGTGCACAGGATCAGTCTTTGGGCCCCAATTATTGTGGAGGTCAGCATGCAGGCACCATCCAGGACATGGCCCTAGCCCAGAGCCTGAATGCTGCCCCAGACCTGCATGTGCCAGTTCAGGGCTGCCACCCTGGCCCTGTGTACCTCAAATCAGGCTCTCAGCCCTGGCCCACATACATTGGATTGGGCCCACTAACTTGGCACTAACGTGCCAGATTGGGCCTGCTGCACTGGCCCTGTGTCCTGGCCCTGTGAGTGTTGGGTCGGGCCTGCTGCCTTGACTCTGCATATGCTGGATTGGGCCTGCCACTCTTGCCCCACATGCTGGGTCTATATGGCATACAGGATTATGTCATTTGCCCCTGGGTCTTGGAAATCTGGCAGCATTAATTGCCACTGTTCCCCCAGCCATCAAATTTGCAGACCTGTGGGGAGCCCTGCAGGCCAGATAACATGGTTCTGTGAGTCAGATCTGGTCTGCGGACTGGAGAATGAACACCACTGATCTAAATGGCTAGAAGCAAAACCCCAGATCTGAACAGCCCCCTAATTTTAGGGGAAGCTTAGATCTGTATTTGGATTCAGATCTGGCAGCTGCTTCCTGACTTCCTAATGGGCCAAAGTTCCAGGCTTGAACTGGGAAAGTTTGGACTCCTATCAAATGTGCATGCTATTTCTTTAGATCTGTGCCAGGAAGCCAGACAGGAGTAGGCTGCAGTGGGCTATTGATATTATTTGCTATTTAATTATTATTTTAGACCCAAGTGGTACAGTGATGCTGAATGAAATGACCTAATTTACATGCCTGAGTATGAATTAAGGTGCATGTGTAATTCTGCATGTCTGTGGGGCCAGGAGGGATCTGTAGACCCCTCTAAGCTTCCTACTATACTAAAAAATCCCAACTGCTCAATCCATTCTGCTCTAGAAATACATTGATGTTGAATTTCTTTGCAAAGCAGCAGTCTGGAAAGGTTTGCTTGTTTGTTTTTAATTAAAGGTGAACTTCTTCCTTATGCAGAAAGTCCAGCTGCATGTCTGAGAACTTTGTAGGAATTTGTCTCTACCTTGGCAATGAACCCAGACCCATATGAAGTACATGTTGAATTGAAATGAACTTTTGTGAATACAAGGTTTTACCAAGTTTAATCAAAGTGTGGCTTTCCCCCAGTTAATTTCAGAGGATTTTTTTGGAGGGAGAGGGAAGAGAATTAGCTACAAACAGCCAGTAGCAGTAAACATAAAATGGCTCAAACCAAAAGTGAAACTATCAGCTTTCATGGTGCCAGACATAGGGCATGTAGGATGCGTCTACACAAGATGTTTACTGTGGAGTAGACTAATTAGCTGTGTAATAAACATCTCAACATCTCTGTGTGCACTGCTATTAGGCTGGAGTAAACTAATTTACACTGCAGTAGGACAGCACTTGTAAATACAAGTACTATCCTGCTGCAGTGTAAAAAACTCTGTAGCGGTGCACTTGTAGCCATTGCCTCAGCTGGCTGGGGCATGTGAGTGCTTCAGTGCAGGGGCTGCCTGCCAGTTATCCCTGCACTCAAGCATCCTCATGCCCCAGTCAGCCCTTCCACAGCATGTTGAACCAGGGGGAGCAGCCCAAGGCTGAACCCCAGGACCCCTTGCCAGTTGGAGCTGCTCTACCCTGGCTCAATATGTTGCGATCCTGGGAGCACGTGCAGATGCATGCCCAGGAGCAACACAGTCAGGTGCAAACTGCACCAGAGCTGACTGCTTCACATTAATTGCGTGTGTAGATGCGCCCATAGAAAACAATTAAGAGTAGAAAGTAAATTCAATTAAAAAAAATCTTGTGCTCAATATAATTTAAAATGTTACTACACAGCCAAGAATGTATAAAAACAGAACACCCCCCCATTACTTTAATCTGACAATGTCTTTTTAAGCAGCTTCTTTTTTCTGACCAGGCAATTCCATGTGCATTAAGAGGGCAGTCTTCTGCTAGACCTAGCAATAGCTCAACTCACTAAGTTCATGCATAACCTGCTGCCCCAGTGAACATCCCAGAGGTCTGCAGCATTTGATAATAGCATCACATATCTGACAAAAAGCTCCACCCCTTCCTGAGGAGCAGCA